CATAGACCTTCGTGTACTTCTCTTACGACGATTTCGACTTCGGGCCCAAAGATGCACAATAGGTAGGGGTCGCTAACACCTCGCTTATATAATATATCCTTTGATAGACAAAATTTCGCGCTAACGATTCTCATTTTCCTGGCTTGCCACTTGTTTTTCGGGAGCTCGCCTGTCACGATGTAGCGCTTTATTGGCTCCCTCCAATTAGCCCCCCAATCTTTAGCCGGAATTTGGTCAATCTCATGAAATACTCGCGGTTCCGGTTCGGGATGTTCATTTGGTTCAAGGTCTGGTTCGGGATGGTCGTCCTCGATTACCGGTTCCGTCTCTATAATAGTTTTGGAAGTACATCTGGCTCCTTGTTGTGCTTTTTCGACTTCCTCCGTTTAACAGGTGGCAACTCGACTTCGGGCTCGCCACGTTCACGCGCTGCTGCTCGAGATCTTGTAACAGCGAGGACTTCTTTGTCAGTTTTAATGCTTCGCTCCGCGATACATTCAACTGGAATGATTCTTTTTAGTTCAGGATCTGATGTTGACGCTAATGCGGCAAGTGCATCCGCGGTTGTATTTTCTCCTCGAGGTATGCGAATTAGTTCGAATTTCTTGAAGTCTTTGGAAAGACCCTTTACTACTTCGAGGTATGCTTCCATTCTTAGGTCTTTCGCTTCATAATCGCCATTGAACTGATTAACTACCAACTGTGAATCACAATAAGCAACCACTTCTTCGGCTCCAACCCCTTGTGCCAGTCGAAGTCCGGCAATTAGTGCCTCATATTCTGCTTCATTGTTAGAAGCATTAAACAATAAACGGAATGATTGTTCAAGAATTTCCGATGTTGGAGATTCCAACTTGATTCCTACTCCAGATCCTTGTTTTGATGAAGATCCATCTACATACAGTTTCCAAGTCTGATTCTCTGGTTGCTCCGATGTACCCAGCACTGGTAGTTCGGTTAGGAAATCTGCCAAAACTTGAGCCTTCATGCTGACCCTGCTTTTATACTCTATATCATATTCACTTAGTTCCACTGCCCACTTCGCCAATCGTCCGGATTGATTTGGACTATGAAGTATTGTTCGGAGTGGCTGGTTGGTTAATACTTCGATTGGATGAGATTGGAAGTATGGGCGTAGCTTCCGGGCTGAAGTTACTACTGCAAGTGCGAGTTTTTCCATCATTGTGTATCTTGTTTCTGGATCTGTCATTGACTTACTTATCTAGTAAATCGGCTTTTGCTCTCCGCGGTCCTCCCGGACCAAGACTCCACTAACTGCATGTTTTGACACTGAAACATACAAATAGAGCTTCTCGTCCACTTCGGGTTTAGACAACACTGGTGGAGTGGTAAGGTATGCTTTAAGTTGTCCGAAAGCTTCTTCACACTTCTCATCCCAAAGGAACCCTTTATTTCCCTTAAGAATTTGATAAAAGGGTAGAGATTTGTCCGTTGATCTTGAAATAAATCTGTTTAGGGCTGCAATTCGACCAGTCAAACGCTGTACTTCCTTGAAGTTCTTCGGGGATGGCATGTTTAAAAAGGCATTAATTTGGTTTGGATTAGCTTCAATTCCTCTTTTTGTCACAATATAACCAAGGAATTCTCCGGATGGAACTCCGAAAGTGCACTTCGCCGGATTCAGCTTCATTTGATATCGGTTGAGAATTTCGAAACACTCCTCCAAATGCTTAATGTGATGCTCTTTTTTCAAAGACTTAACCAACATATCGTCTATGTAGACTTCCATTGTCTTCCCGAGGTGCTCATGGAACATTTTATTGACCAACCGTTGATAAGTTGCCCCTGCGTTTTTTAAACCAAAAGGCATTACTTTATAACAATAAGTACCTCTGTCCGTGATGAATGATGTCTTTTCTTGGTCTTCGGGATCCATCATTATTTGATTATAACCCGAGAAGGCATCCATGAAAGTTAATAATTCATTCCCAGCGGTAGATTCCACGAGCCGGTCTATATGTGGGAGCGGAAAACTATCTTTCGGACACGCTTTATTGAGATCGGTGAAGTCGATACACACCCTGTCTTTTCCATTTTTCTTTTTGACCACGACAGTGTTTGCTACCCACTCCGGGTATTGTACTTCCCTTATAGATCCTATTTTTAATAGTTTATCCTCTTCATCATTTACTGCCTTTGCTCGCTCTACTCCGAGTTTTCTTCTCTTTTGTTTCACAGGCTTAAAACTTGGATCCACGTTCAATTTGTGGCAAATTATGCTCGGATCTATGCCGGGCATATCAGCCGCTGACCATGCAAATGACGTCTTGTTTTTCCTTAGAAGTTCAATCAAAGCCTCTTTTATTTCGCCAGCCAAAGTGACTCCAATTCGGACTTTCCGATCTGGTTTGTCTTCTTCCAATACTACTTCGATTACTACATCGTCTTCTTTTTGCCCACTAGGAAATCTTGGAATTTCCTTCTTCGTAGGTTTCGTTAATTGCTATTGGATCTTTAGTCGATGACTGGTCAGATAACACGTTCGTGAAGCTTCTTGACTTCCTCGAATTGTTTCCACTCCACTAGGAGTTGGAAATTTGATGCATTGATGATACGTCGAGGGGACTGCCTTCATTTGATAAATCCATGGAGTCCCAAGGATGATGTTGTAGGCTGCCGGTTTATCAAAAACAACAAAATCTACTATCTTTGACACGTTTTTGGCAAGAACTGGCAGCTTGATCGTCCCGAGAGACATGGCCGATTCGCTTGTGAATGCCACCAAAGGAGACGGCGGTCCTACTATGTCTGCCCGACTGATTCCCATCCTTTCCAGGGTACCTAAAAAGATTAAGTCGACCGAACTGCCCGTATCAATGAGAATTCTCGATACTTCGAAGTTGGCAACGTCTAAGGTAATGACTAGGGCGTCATCATGAGGCCTTTCGAGGTGACATGTTTCTTCTTCGTCAAATGATATTGACGCGCCTTGAAAGTCCATTTCTTCGCCTAAATTTGCTTTAAATAAAACATTTCGCCTATGCTTCTTTATGGCACTGATCGTATCCCGACAAAGCTTGGAACCTCCAATGATCACATTGATTTTTCCCTTCGAACTTCTAGGTTCTTCTTCGTTGGATTGCCTAGGTCTTTTTAAATTCTGATCTTTAGGGGTATCTTTTGCCTCGTGATATTCTTTCACGAAATCTTCTATCTTGAATTTAGAAAGATCTCCACTGGCCCACAGCTCTGCGAGGTGCTTTTTGAGGACACTACAGTCTTTGGTTAAGTGTCCGGTTACCTTATGGATGTCACAATACAAACTTTCGTCACGGATCCAAGTGTTTGACCTTCCCTTTCCTTGAAATTGTTTCCCGACGGTATTGTTGAGGGGTTGCGATCCGAACTTTTTAGGTCCTTGGTTCTCCCTGGGCTCAAACTTTTTGGTAGGGAAAGTGACCGCTGGTTTTGCTTGTTTGTTCCTTTTTGCAAAACTCTCTTTTTCGTCTTCTACTTCCATCCAGTTATTTGCACGGAAAAGTGCGTCTTGAATTGTGTCCGGTTTGTGAAGTATTAGATCTTCTTTGAACCTTGAGTCATGCCATAAACCTTTTCGTAGGGCAGATAAAGCTGACTGCTGCGAGATTCTTGGGAGTTTTGATAGCACCCCCTTGAACTTGGTGATGAAAGTTCTAAGTGACTCGTTTGGCCCTTGTGTTAGATTCCAAAGGTCGGCATCCGAAACGCTTTTATCCATGAGGATAGAATACTGTTTCAGGAACACAGCCGACAACTCGTCGAAGTTATTGATTGAGCCTGGTTCCAGCTGAGTGAACCACATTAGTGCTTGACCGCAAAGATTTTCCGAAAAGAGTTTGCAGTATCCCGCGTCCTCATCAGCTTCATCCAATTCGACTCTTCCAGCGGCAATCAGAAAAGCTGCGAGATAGCTCTTTGGGTCTTCTAATCCACTGTACGGATCCAGTTTGAGTTTCCGAGAATCCTTGATTCTCAAATTTGCAATTCGCGGAATGAAAGGAGTTCGCCTAGCTTCCTCGATGACTCGGTTGATGTCCGGCTCCAAACTGGTGGCCTGGTGGAACTTTGACTTCATTTCTTTTAGTTCCTGGCTAACCTTTCTCATGGTTTCGAGTTGGTCGAAGCTTTCTTGATCATATTGATCCACAAGCTGGTCTCCATCTCCGAGCTGCGTCTCTCCTTCCACATCCGGTTGAATTGTTGGGTTAGGAGTTGTTTGTTCGTTGGTTTCACTTCGTACACGGGAGTTTGGCGTACTGAACATACTTCTTCGAACTCCCACAGTACTTCCTGCACCTAGAGAACGAACACGAGATTGAATAGTATTGACGCTTTGACCAAGAGATACCTGGGTTGTTTTAAGCGTGTCCACAGCTTTTTCCACATCCGAGAACTTCTGCGACATTTCTGATATGGCTTGCTGCATGGCCTTGAGAGTTTCAGCTACTGACGAGTCAGGGATGCTTGCTCCAGACATTGCTGCTTATCTCGGAAATGTAGTGAGAGAAATCTGACAACTCAAGAATCTTCTAGTTCCCCACAGACGGCGCCAAAATGTGGATGTCGGATTCGCACACTTGAATATTTGTTTATTTAGTGGGAATGATTACTCTTGAGGACAAAAATATGATAAGAAAAAGCTATGAATTGTAATGGGAATAACTATAGTGTATTAGCTCGAAAAATTGCGTATCCTTTACATGGCTATTAGCCCTCTTATTTATATTGACAAACGACATTTAACTCTCAATTAAACACAATTATTCTCTCTTAAATGTGTCCGTTTTGGTCTTCGAGTTTAATGCTCAACGTTTGAATTTGAATTGATTCCGATCTTCATGGGCTTCGCCTTTTGGCCCAAATTACTTTGAACCATCCTGACTTTGATTCCGAGTCATATCCCGAAATGGGACCACTTCGAGTTCCCTTCGTGATGATGCCCACTTCGACTATATCCTGTACACCTTGGGTTTTAATGGGCCTTATTCTTTGCGGGCCTTCATCCTGACTACGTGGCGATCTTTGGTTGGTCCCGGTCTACTGGTGCGGGATCCGACACCAACAGGTATGTGGTTGGTCTACCATGTGATGCGCAACAGGGACAGGGATTGGAGGTGGTAACTGCAAGTGCTCCGTTTCTTGAACTTGGAAGTTGCAGTGTGTAGCAAGGTGGTTTAGGCCTCCACAGGTAGAACAAAATCTCCAGAGTTTATCGTAAACAAATCGAATCAGCACTGGCGGTCGAGAATCATCCAAGTTGAAGTAGCGAGCAAAGAGTAACCGATCATAAACATCAATTGGGACATGGACCCGAACTTCCCCAACTTGGTCTGCAGACGGTTGTTGTATATGAACCTCATCAACATGACCCAACACTCCACCAACTTCGCGTATCACGCTGTCACTCTTAGAATCATCTGGAAGGTTGAGAATTTTTACCCAAAAGCGGATGATACGAAGGAAATCCGGGTAATTTCGACGGGTCCAGCGATCAACTACAACAAGCCAGTCTTTATAGGTCCATGGCCCGTTATCAAGAACTGTAAGAAGTTGGTGTTCATGCTTGAAGAAGAATTGGACAGATCCATCATCATTAATTCGACTGGTAACACGGCCTTCCAATTTCCAAATCTTTGGCATCATCACCTTAATTCCAGCTGGATTTTGAGAAGGATGTAGTCCTTGAACAACAAGACTAAGCCGGTGTTCGGCATCTCGCCTGTTTTTAGCATCATTTGAGATCTTTAAAGGGCTACGCTCCAAGCCGAGATTCAGGTTTTGAAGAGATATCCACAACTCCTTGTCTGCCATTGAAGTATGTCTCAGATCCGTTGAAACGGAAAGAAAATCCGAGCTCGCCGGAAAAGGAATCACCGGAAAAATGAGTCGGTGAAGAGAAGTCTTCTCAGCAACACTTGCATAGGAAAACAATAAAGCAAAAGCAAATCATAAGGAAGGTTCACAGAAATTGCTTCAAAGGACATGCTGTCATATTCAACAAATTATGCTGCCAATAGATTTGCAATCCTATTATAATAAATCACAAGTCACTTTCCATTCCAAATAAATATTCTTCTTCCTCATATCCCCACGACCTCTACAATATCTTTTTGAAAAATCTTTTTAACTCAATATATATACAAAATACTGTTACACAAATTTGTAACTAATTGGTAAAAAAAAAAAAACAATTTGCTAATCATTTGAGTAAAAAATAAATTGCTACACTAATTTGAACGCGCAAAGCGCGGGCTATTAAACTAGTTCTCGATAACAATGTGGAAATCTAATAACCTAATCCTATGAGTATAAATAGGTCCATCATTGTAACCAAAAGATTAAGAGAGTAAAAGTAATGAAAAGCTGATCTTCTCCTTCGTACACTAAGATCCACATTTTACTTTTATAATATCAGAACCATGGCTAATCAATCCATGGAACTCTATCCTTATCCTACATCAAACATATCAAAACTGTGTTATTCTAAAGCTAAACCATAAAAATTAAATATATGGGAAAGTACAATTTAAATCCCTTTTATCTGGTCAACACTTACTGGATTTTGTGAATGGCATGCATCCTTCTCCAGGCGCTATCATTCATGTTCCACACATAGGAGGTCAGGTTACAACAATTCAGAATCTAGATAACAATGAATGGTTCAGGTGTGACCAGATAGTCAGAGCTTGGCTCCTTGGATCTCTGTCTGAAGATATTCTTGCTGAGGTCACATGCATTACAACATCACAAGAGTTGTGGTTAGCTCTTGCCAGACATTTTAAGAAGGTATCTTCTTCTCGCCTATTTAAGCTACAAAGCAAGAATGTTTGTGAGCAACTTGCATCTATAGGTAGTCATGTACCAGAAAAGATGAAATTTTTTGCTGAATTAAAGGGTTTACGAAGAGAATATGAACCATCTCCTACCTTTGAGGATGTTGCATCTCAGCTCACAAGTTATGCTGACAGACTTTCAAGTTACATTACTGGTATGGAGGTCTCACCACACTTGGCCTTCTACATCAAATATTCTGGCCGAGGAAGAAGCAACTCCTATGGCAAGTTTGGTGGATCCAGTGGTAGAGGAAACTATTATTCAACCAAAGGAAGAGGATTCCCACTACAAATCTCTTTGAATACCTCTAATTCAAGCTTTATGAAATGGAGACCAAAGTTGTATGTTAGATATGTAGAAAACCTGGACATCCTGCTTTAAAATGCTAGCATAGATTCAACAAGAACTATCAGTATGAAGAATTACCAAATGCACTGGCTGCTTTGAGGATCACTCATGTCACTAAACATGGTGGTCATGAGTGGGTATCAGATTCAGGAGCTACAGCCCATGTCACCAACTCACCACATAATATCCAAAGAGCTCATACCTATGCATGGTGAGACTCAATCATGATTGGGGATAGAAACTTCTGAAAGTGCAGATATTGCTGGAACAAGAAACGGTCTGTTGGAACAAGTTTGGGATTGCTCGGTTGGTGCTGACGTGGTTCGTGGAGTTGAAGATAAATATCAGAAAGATATTTAGAGAGATCAAATCAGAAGAAACGTGCAGCTGAAGATATTCTTGGAGAAGAATATTATTGAAGATTTGTTTCTTTTATTTAGAAGAGGATATTTTCCTTTTGTATCGGGATAAAATCTAGGGTGACATATCTCATAGGTATATGGGTATATATACTAGGGAGATGTGTGCTGCTAGGGTTAGCCGAAAAGAGAGAGAGAAAACGAATTGCTTTGTTTCGGTGCTTTTGTAGGCAAGTCGAGCTGCTTGCTGGAACACGGGTTTAGTTGTTCTAATACTGGGTGTAACTAGATATTGTTTGGTGTCGAACTAAGAGGTTCTTAGTGTCGTGTAATTCCAGTTAGGCAAGGTCTTGTTGTAAAGATTGTCTAAGTGAATCTAGTTATTGTTTTGAGGACGTAGGCACGTTGCCGAACCTCGTTAATTATCGTGTGCCTTATCTATCTCTGCTTTTTCAACTTCCTGCTAATCACTCATACTGGATCAACAAGTCTGCAAACACCCTCTGGTAAGCTACCTCTCAATGATGTCTTGATTTGCCCTAACATTGCAAAATCATTTTTATCAGTATCTAAGATTACAAAAGACTATCTGATTGCACGAGTAATTATCCGATACACTTAACCGCAAGGTAGTATATACGAGGTCGATCCACAAGAACCAATGGTACACTAAAGATTTCCGATACTCGTTCTTAGCTAAAGCAGAAAGGTTGTTTGTTTGGTTTTTAGAATTGTAAGTAAAAATGCAATCGAAATAGACAATTAAACTTATGAATTAAAGACATTGGGCATTAGGGTATTTAAGAGATCAACGAATAATGGAAACATGAGACAAGAAATTCAACAATTAAGCACCGTTCTTGAACATGAACACAACTAGACTAATTCTCTTTCAAGACATTAATCACTAAATTTGACTACTCGATTACTAAACTTTCGCATGTAATTTCCTAGTCAAATTCGCATTACCAATCAAGTTCATTAAGTTCACAATGCGTCCTAACGTCAACTTTCATTGGCTAAGCATACATTGCTCAATTCACATTCTTTCAGGCATTCTATCGAACACTTTTGATGCATAGAAAAACCTAGAATCTACAACAGGGTGATCAATCCTATTCTAGCATTAAGAATATGTGAATCAAAGAACCTAGAGAATGAGAATTCCTAATAACAATCAATCCATTAATCCATTGAATCTCCTAATTAGAACCCTAAAACCCAATAGGATAACTACTCACACATAGGAAAAGAGATAACAAAAATCAATGAAGAAAACATGATGAAATTGTAGAAATAACAAGAAAGGGTTTAGAAATCTTCTCCAAGTGTCAAGAGGATGGATTCCTTTCCCCAAAGTTGTTTACAAACCAAAGAACTAAGTTTAGAACTGAAAAATATGAAAGATCCTCTCAAAAGTCGAGAATAGGGTTTTAAAACAATAGGAGACGAGCCGGGTCGGATCTGGAGTGAATCAGATCAAATATGGGCCAAAAGTACGTCTGGGGAAGGGATCGATCGATCCAAGAGAGGATCAATCGATCCAGCATGTCTGGAACTGATTATTGTCCGTCAGAGGTGTGGATCGATCGATCCTGCAACTGCTTCAAATGCTCGCCAGAATGACCTGTCTTCACTAATTCGGCTATAACTCTTAAATGCACCGTTAGATTTCCTTCAAATTACTTGGAAACTCAAGCTAACATCTTCATATAGTTTGTGTCCAAAATTAAGAAAGCTCTAACGGTGGGAAGTATTCCATCTGAGGCCAAACGTCTGACACTTCTAAACGAAACTGCATCTCCAAAAATGTATTTAGATCCCAAAACAGCTCGTTTTCCTCCAAAGCAACCTAAAACCTGTAGAGACTTGATAAAGGGCTAAAAGACTCTAAAAACACACTTTGACTCTATAAAACATATGATCTAGGAAAGAAAACAAAGACTCAAAACCGATAAAAACACAACATATCACTATCCATGCTCTTTTGAATTTGAATGTGATGGTGTTCGTGTTAGTGATAAGGCGACAAAAAGGCTGTTAATAATAGGAAACAATAGTGATTGTTTATATGTGTTGAATGACTCACCTATTCAAACCTTCTATTTCTCAAGACAACAATATGCAAGTAAAGATGTTTGGCATAGAATTGAAGACTCGGCCATCCAAATCAACAAGTTCTTCAGCACCTATCAACAATAAAAGCTATTTTAATCAGTAAAGGAAGCAATGGGGTGTGTGAAGCATGTCACCTTGGCAAGAGTAGTCGGTTATCTTTTTAATTATGCTTATGTTGCATCTAGGCCTTTAAAGAGGATTCATTATGACCTCCGGGGACCCTCTCCAATAATGTATTTTCAGGGCTTCCGTTACTATGTAGTTTTCCTTGGTAATTATTCACGCTTTTGTTGGTTGTTCCTACTAAAGCTAAAGTCAGACTTCTTCTCCATTTTCACTGTGTTTCAAGCAAAAGTTAAAAATCAATTCCAACAGGAAATTGGTACTTTTCAATGTGATGGTGGAGGGAGAGTCCATGAGTACAAAGTTTCTTACTCACATTCTACAATGTGGTATTCAACAACTTATATATCCTACCCTCTGACTCCACAACAAAATGGATTAGCTGAAAGAAAACACAAACACATTATTGAGTTGGGGTTATCTATGATGTTTGAAAGCAAAGTCCCTTATCAATATTAGGTTTAAGCTTTTTATACAGCAAGTTTTCCGACGAATTTGCTTCCAACCTCAGTTCTGGAAAAGAGTTGCAGTCCCTATAAAGCATTGATGGGTCATCCTCCAGAGTAAAGTGCTCTTAGAGTGTTTGGTTGTGCATGTTATCCTACTTTCAGGCATTATGCAACAAAAAAATTTGATCCGAGATCACTTAAATATGTGAAAAGTGATGGTGTTCCATTCAACAACACTAAGGGATGCCAAACACATCCAACCGATCGGTTGAGATTTATGAAAACTTCCATATTTTTTTTATTTTAGGGCTACCTCCCACTACTTATAATACTCAAACCTTTCGTAGCCGCATATATATACTTTCTATACAAATTTTATAGTTTTGAAGGTGTTCTTATTTTCCTCTTCTTTGTTTACTTGTTTTCAGATTACAAAAACCCTTTTGTAGTTCCTTCTTAATTCTTGATCCTTCCTCTACAATGATCACAGGTACTTAGGTCAAGTGTGAGTAGTCTCATCAATGACCTTAGGGATTCCAAAGGAGATGTCATTATAAATGGCTCGATATGTATTCTCTTGCTATGATTTATATTGTTGTTATCTATCTTTAATTGTTCTTAAAGCCTTAGATGGATTAGGCTAA